TATATATAGACGAAACAAATGATGTCAGAACTTGGTTACTTCATATTGTTTATTTTCACTACAACATTGTTTTGTACACATCAGGCGAATATGTACAACTGATGTTATTACAAGGAAAACTTATAGTAGAGTAGATATAGCTCAAAAAAGGGCATAACCCCCAAAAAATTGCAACAAAAGGTTTTTCAACGGATTTTGGTAATATTAGATGTGCTTAATAACATACAAAAAGTCTTACAAAATCCGACCACCGGAAAGTGGTTCTTTTCAAGATGGCCGCCAAAATGGCGCCAATATCATAAAACAGCTACAAACTGTATTTTAATTGCGGATTTTATCATCAATATCAGGCTTTATGGGTCAATAAGTCATTTGAGACAATTTTTAATGTGATGACCAATATGAATAAGTTCAAAATGGCATGCAAAATGGCCGCCATGTATAAATTAACAGCCATAAATCAGTTATTATAACTACATAAGCTTTGTTGTTATTTGTTAATGATGTATGTAATTGTAAAAAACATCCAGCATTGTCTTATTTATCATTTAAAATTTTCGCTATTTTACCTACTGTGTCAACATGTCTTTGGAATAACCTGCTTTAAGAAGCTTTCTAATTGGTTAATTTGTCTTAGTCTTACGGCAATATATTTGACATTAGCAATTTTAGAAAAGTAACACTCAACATGGTAAACATGAATAAACAGGCATCAATAAATGAAGATTACTTTGAAGTGTCTTGGTGAATGAATCTGTTGCGCCCAAGCACTAAAAATAATATATTTTTGAAAGAAGTTCTCTGATTGGCATGATTGGAAGTTAAACTATCTCGAGTATATTTCCCGCACGATTAAAATCGTAACGGTACTAGTTTGGTCTACAGGAGCTCGTGCTTCGTACAGGTCATTCCATTCATAGAAAAAGCCTTTTTCTTGGAAAAAGCGTACCTGTCGTTAGCCATCGTAGCCTAGGCCAATACTAACTCTGACTATACAAAATTGATTGAAAAGTATTCACCTTATTATTGTAGTAGTGACACCATGTCCACATTTTATTATTGTTATTTATTCATTAAGGTTATTATATATTATTTATATTTAAATTTAATGTATTGTTTAAGTATAAATTATTCAACGTCCATGTTAAATTAATCTTATTAAAATTGTATTAAATAATATAATAATAGTCATAGCCGAGGCCTAGCCTAGGCCTAAACCTAGTAACTGTGTGTAGTATATAAAATTATGAATAAAAAGTATAAATAAACGCAAATTGTGAAAGAATAAAGGAAGGAGGAGAATAGGAAAGAGATTTTGGAGCGGGAATATACAAAAGTAGTCAATATGCCAATATTGTTTTACGTTTTTGTAAACATTTTTGGGCACTAATTGTCAGAGGTCTCGATGCCACGGCCTACACTTTTCATAATTCAACATCGATGTCCAATATAGGCTGCTGGCACCTTGACCTCTGACGATTAGTTCCAACAATTTTTCAAAATAAAAGTGATGCAATAATGACAAAATGATTATTATTGTTTATTTTCAGTAAATATTTCAGCCACTCCAAATTTCTTTCCACTTCTTTCTTCCTATGCTTCTTCTGTTTTTTCTGTAAATTTAATATACTAATATATATTTACGCATAATATTTATAAATATATAAATAAGTATATCATTTTCATACATATTTACATATTTTAACGGGATTCTAGAACTAGGCCTGTGTCTGTAATTAACATAATTCAATCATATTGTTCTAGCATATTGCTTTATTTAAATATTATCAAATATTTTTAATCTTTAACGATTACATTATTTCATATACTATTTTCAAATAAATGTCGAAACACAATAAAAATTGACATAGTAGTATGATTCTTATATATTCATAAACAAGAATAACTTTTTCAATCTTCTAATCAATTTTATACAGCCGGAGTTAGTTTCGACCTAGGTAAACCTTGCTAAAAAGGTACACTTTCTCCATCAAAGGGCTTTTTTTATGAATGGAATGACCTGTTCGAAGCACAAACTCCTGTAGACCAAACTCAATACCGAAATCCACTCACGATGCAAAAGAAAAGATAAAGCCAAAACACTTGGAGATGAAAAAGCCATTAAAGTTGCTCCTGATAGAACCATTGGCCCTGCCAATTTTATTCCAAAGATTCCTTGTGTCAAATCGGGAGATCTTACATTAGAAGATGTAATGAGTAATGAACTTAGTCCGTTTCCACCATCACTTTTTGAGACTAAACATTTTTAGGAAGGCCAACAAACGACAATTTGTTCAAGTTGTTATAGATCATGCAAGTAAGTTGTCAATTACAGCAATCTACGACACTGTACCGGAAACTGAATGTTGTGATCTAGATGGAGGCTCCCTTTTACATAACTTATGGAAGAGAGGAGACAGTTACGGCACAATTGCACAGGCATACTCTGAGTTCGTCAGGTGAGAGTATGGATTGGCAACTGTTGTATTTGATAGTTGATGAGACTCCTTCTATAAAAGACAATACCTATCAAAGAAAAGGACAGAATATCCACCCAAATGTAAACTTTACGGCTAATACCGAGTTTGATGGCAAAGGATGAGTTCCTTTCGAGGCATAACAAGCAGATAAGATTATAGTATAATACATACTCCAAGTATCAAAACGCACGCCATCGTGTCGGGATTCAATATTTCGACATTAATTATGTCATCATCAGGATAACAAGCAGAAGTTTATAAATATGCTCTCTGCTGAACTTCAGAAAAGAAATTGTCCTATAATACAAGCAAGGAACGATGCTGACGTGAATATAGTGTAGCATCAGTAGAATTTTCCCATCTTCATACTGTACCGGTAACTTTAATTGGAGAAGATACAGACTTTTTCTTCTTCTCTATCATGTCAATACAGACGAACGAGAGTTTTACTTCAGGTCGGACAAGACAAAGGATACTAGGGTAAGGGTAATAAATGTAACCCGCATATAATCCGCCTTTGGAAATAAATTATGCCTTGCATTGCCATTCAACATGCTTTTACGGGTTGTGATTCAACATCTTGCATTTTTGGCCTCGGTAAAGAAGGCAGCTTTCCAGAAATTGGTGGAGGGGGATTGGATTCTTAGATTATGTGCTGAAGCATTTAGTCAGCCAAATCAGAACAGTGATGTTATTGTGGAATTTGTAAGAAAGGCTATCTATCCTGTTTGAGACTAAATCCATTGATTCACTTGATAGCTTCAGATGTAAGCAAGAAAGTTGTTGGGGGTATCGATTGTGACGCCTCAGCAACTACCTTCAACTTCATCTGCCAGTAAATTTCATTGTCAACTTTTAAAAATCATCCATTGCAATTGCACTACTGGATGTAAAACACCACGTTGCAGTTGCAGATGCTATGGGTTGACAAGCACATCAGCCTGTGGAGCCTGTCAACTTAAGGGATGTGAGAATGTAGAGAAAGTAATAGATGATGAAGAGGGAGAAATGGAAACAGATGACTATTGATTTATCGTAAACTACAAAATGCATTAAATATAGCAAGCCTGGTCCTTAATTCCAGTCTACTTGTTGGTATAACTGTTAATCAATAGAATCTTAGATGACAACTTTCTTTGATTTGATCAAAAAATGACGACACTTGAAATTGCTAAAGTAAGTACTGATTTATGACTGTTTATAGATGGCGGCCATCTTGGACGCCATCTTGAATTGATTTATATTGTCTGAAATGATTTACTAACCAACAAAACTTGATACTGCTTTAAAAAGATCGCGATTATATCAAAATTTGTAGCTGTTTTATGGTATGGCCGCCATTTTGGCGGCCATATTGGAAAAAACCACTTTCCGGTGGTTGGATTTCATAAGACTTTTTTTACGTTATTTAGCACACTCAATACTACCAAAATCCGTTGAAAACCCTTTTGTTGCAATTTTTTGGGGGTTAAACCTTATTTCTACTGTACTATTAAGTATATCATTAATTGAGAAGCAGATTAGTGGTGATTAAAGGGGTATATTGTCTAGATGGTATATTGTTTATGGATTAGCTATCATTGGTTTCTGAGCAGGAATTTCCTCCTGTGCCTACAAGTGGATATTAATTCATTTCTGCAGTTAAGAGAACTTTACTCAGGATGACAAATAATTAGAAACTTGTCATGTAGGTATTAGATTGCATCGTTTTATAGTATTAGAATACGGTCTACATTGTTTTATAATTTTCCATTGTATGGTATATTGCGTCTTAGTGTCTTTCAATGACCAAATGTATTTACTTAGTTTAGTAGTTCTGTATTTAGCATTCAAGAATGAGTATGGTTTCTATATCTAGTTTTAAATGTATTTTCCGTAAGACCGATGTAAGTTTCTTCATTCTTGTTGTCGACTCTTGTTACTGTAGCTTGATAGACAATCTTTTCGGTGAGGCATTTACCGGATAGCGGGCATTCGCTCTTTTGGCGACAGTTTATTCTTCTGAAGTTATTCTTCTGAAGTTCCTTAGACAATATAGATTTTTTGTGTGAATTTATAACACTATTCTTGTTTGGCATGCAGCTGTAGCTGAGTTTCAATGTGTTTCTTTTAATTAGCTTTCTAAGCTCGTGTTTTTGTGGGAAGCATTCGTCCACTATATGTAGAAATTTTTGGCCTATATTGGTAGCGACGTTGGCACTGTACGGGGTTAAACCATATGAAATTTCGGCTGCGTAATCGTTTTGACTTTGTGGGTACAGGCTTAAAATTCAATTTGTAGTCGTAGCCGCTTTTGTGGAGGGCTTCTTGATACGTTGGAGCAGCAGTATCGAACGATTCCTTATCAGACGAGATGTTGGATAGTCTTCTATTGGTGGCTTCTGGTATGTTAAGAATTATTGACGATGGGTGATTGCTTTGTTAATGGATGTAAAGGGGGGTATTGTTGGGTTTGGAAAATGGTTTGAATGTTCCGGTTCTTAAATCTAGGGGTATGTCCAGGTAATCAACTTATTTTTTGTTGGCTTCTATGGTGAGATGTAGATTGTTGTCCCGAAATACCTTGCATATGTGTTTTTTAATACACTCAATCTTTCTCCGTGACACGTCAAGTGCGGCTAGACCGTCATTTCTGTATAGGCCGATTTTGTTGCCATATGTCGGTGTTAGCTGGGATAGTAAATACGATCCGACTAGCTCGCAGATTTCTGCACCGTCGAAACTCCCCATGGTCACGTCAAATAGTGTGCTGCCCGTTTTCTTACACCATGATGTATTTTCCTTGAAAAGAAGAGATTTCTTTGTTTGGATAATGATGTTCTTTTCCTGGTCGGTGATGTCAAATTTTGATGCAAATTCGAGAGCCTATTCTAGTAGATTTTCAGATATTGATTGGTAAAAGTCATTTATATCAAAGCAGATGAATGAATGATTAGCTTTGTTAGAGATGTTTTTGAACCAGCTAATTACAGAATCGGTGTTTTTCCATTGGTTTACCTTGGTTGATGCCACTATCTTCTTGTTTATTTTTCCGAGGATTTCCTTGTTTATGATGCCGATTTCAGATTTGGTTGGATTTATAAGCCTGCATGTGGGGTTATTGTTGAAGTTAGTCTTATGATCTTTTAAAGTTACAAACGCAATTGTTGTTGCGGTAGCTTCAATTCTATTGTCTAGCTCAAGTGATTTCCCAATTTTCTTTTCGTCTGATTGAACCAGCTAATTACAGAATCGGTGTTTTTCCATTGGTTTACCTTGGTTGATGCCACTATCTTCTTGTTTATTCTTCCGAGGATTTTTTTGCTTATGATGCCGATTTCAGATTGGGTTGGATTTATAAGCCTGCATGTGGGGTTATTGTTGAAGTTAGGCTTATGATCTTTTAAAGTTACAAACGCATTTTTTTTGCTTCGGTAGCTTCAATTACATTGTCTAGCTCAAGTGATTTCGCAATTTTCTTTTCGTCCGATATTATCATCAGGTGCCTTCTTGTACGCTTTAGTTATGCTAGTTTCTAGAAGTCGGTTATATGAAGGAGGGTCCATACGATAGAAGTTTGTAGTCTTGTCAGAAGCAATAAATAGTTGATCGTCATTTCTGATGTTTGCGGAATCACGCGATAATTTTTTTAGAACTCGTTGCTAGTATCCTTGAATTTGATGTTCTGAATAAGGCTAAGCATTTTGTTTTCAAATTCGTTTAGTTGCTTGATGGGGCTCGGTGAATTAGTGGTTTTGAATTCAAAAGTTTCCTTTTCCGATTGATCGAATGGGTTCAAAAAGTAAAAGGCTTTCTATCGTACTCCTCGTAGAAATGATTCAATCTTCTCAGTCAAACATTTTAAGTAGTCCTGGGGTTGTGCAATAGGGATGTTCTTAGTAGAGTATCCAAGTTTTATGGGTTCCATGATCCGATAATAATCATGATCCGAAG